TTGATGGGTTGACCGGGACCAGGCCACATTTGGGGATGAGGTTGACCGGTCTGTTGGATGGGAGGAAGACGGGCATGAGGCTGAGGGTGCTGAAGCTTCTGACGCTTCGCCATTTCTTCGTGCTGGCGTTGTTGCTGGCGCTTCTTCTTCGTCTGAAATTCGTGGGAAGATTCGTACTTCGGAAGGCTGTTCAAGGTTGGATTGTGGGGTAATTTTTAGTAGGCATGAGCATCAAGGCGAGGAGAAATTGTTTGTTGAGACAGTGAAGGGTTTAAGGTTCACCTTTTTGGATCACATGGTAAGGGATCAGCCCAGAAATACTCTGCATCAAGTGCATCTTTTGCTGATATTCTCTGCAAATCAGAAGATGTGAGATTGAACTTTATACAGAATAGCACAAGATGAATTATAAGATTCCATATGTAATGCCAGGGGATATAATCATGAAAACTGTCAAGAGTCATGGAAAGTTGTGCTGGAAAGTTATTCTAGATCTTTGTGAAGTATATTGATATTTATATAAATGTTCAATGATAATAAATGATCATAGAAATTATAAAATCAATCTTACAATGAAAGATAATTTTTAACTAGGAAGGGTGTGTAGAGAGCTATGTGACTGAAAAATTCACGCCATGGACTTTTCAGATCTTAGATTCGGAAGTTTTGTGATCAATTTTAATTATTTCCAAGGGGATTCTATCTGAATCTAGCAGGATTTAAGAGTGTAGCAATAATTGTATCAGGCAAAGTACCAAAAAGCAAAGATAAAGCTCTATTGTTATGTCTCCAATTAGAACTATTAAAGACGCACAAGCTGTCTTAAAATGATAAATACATTAGAAGTTAGGGACATCTACATACAAACCACCCAATTCATATGTATTTACATATCAACACCTAAATTTTACTCTTTTTTTTTTGCATTAATAACAACCAAATCTTTCATCTCACATAAAAAATAGAATCATTTTGACTTTCGAAGAGTGAAATACGCCTTTTCATGTATAGGTAAGGTTGCATGCATGTAAAAATTGAAATTTAAATGAAAAATATGGTAATACATAGGAATTGAGTGGTATGTATGTAAATCTTCCAAATTATAAATGCCAAAATACAGAATTATCCACGACTGTTATCAGCCGCTCGTGTAGCCCACTTGGCAAAGAATGCAAAGTTCCCTTCTAATTTAGCTGCTTTAAGGGTATAATTGCGATTTAGAACATATTTAGAAGTATAAACAACTTCTCGTAGTAAAGGAGGAAATTTAAATCTTACGCAATACCTGAGATGGATCGAGCATTAACATCCTCTCCAATAACTCCAAGGCATGACGGTCGAAACTGCAAAAAATCAAATATTTTGTAATATTGGAAAATAGAATGTAAAAGAGTAACATATAGTAGGATGTAAAACCCTTCGCAATTATCAATGCTACAGAAACGACTAAGATAAGCAAATACGTAAAAGGGCCAACTTACTGCTTGAAAAGCTCCCTGACACGTCTCTTCGTTGGCCTTGAAGGCTTGAAGTTGTTATACCAAGGCATCTTAGTAACACCAGGCCAGTTCACCTCATCTGGAGTTCCACAGAGCTCAAAAATCTTCGTCAACTGTTCTGGCTGAAATATTGCGAGAAACAAGCAGTTAGTTTGATTCTCAACTCCACAATAGCCTAAAGTATGGGTGTCAATTTGGGTTTGGGTTAACCCAAACCAAAACTGCTTAGACTCAAACCCGACCATTATGACTCGTTTAACATGAGGCATAAAAGCTATTCGAGTCAAATTTGGGTTGATTCTAAGTCAATGTAGGGTCGATTTCAAGTTGACGGATCGATTTCAAGGCAATTTTGCTTGGTAGGATGATTTCATTTTTGTAGCTCAATTTGAACCCGACTTGAAAAATTAAACAAGTTAAAAATCCTAACCCGAATTCAACCCAAAAACTATCAGGATAACCTGAACCAGGATTTTTCAAGTCTGGTTCGGGTCAATGTAGTTCAAGAAAAAAATGGGTAGTGGAGACAATAATTGGACCAATTGTAAAGTTGGAAATAAAATCATGAACAAAATAGAAAAAACTCAACTAAAAAAAAACCTGCATGATAACTTATTGTAGATTGCAGTCAATTGTTAAAGCTTGAATCTTTAATTCAGAACACCAAAAGAAAAAAAAAAGAACTTCACATGGAACACCAAGAACCATGAGTTAAATTTTATTACAATAATGCAATTTACAATGTTCTGCCCCAATATATCTTGCAGCAAGATGCGAGAAGAACAAATGTCTAGAACACAATCTCAGCCAACCTAGTTTGAAATGCAAACTTGTAAAGCAAATTAATAGATTAGCCTTTAAAAAAAAAAACTTTTAAGAGGGATCTACTTTTGAATAACATTGTATGAAACGACAAGGACTAAACCCAACATTAGAGGAAGAGAAAGAGAACCCAAGTCTTCATTCAAGTGATAATTTTTTTTAAAAAAAAAAAATTACAACACAGGTTCATTACTATTATTTTTTTATTCGGAGTTGCATAAAGCACCTTATCAACAATTAAAGCCATTTGCAAGTTAGGACATGTATGCAACCTAGGACAAAAGTAACAGCCCTATTCCGATTTCCAGAAAACAGTGAACCCCACTTGTAATTAGGTCCTGCATGTAGGTGTATGGCCGTGAAAGGCATAGTTTGCATTAAAAAAATGAAGAGAAAAAAAAAATTATGATCATTTAAATCAACGGTGCAAGAAAATTTGTTCACTCTCAAGCTTGTTCAATCAAGAAAAAAACTTTCAATTAAAATAATATTTCAATAGATCAACACCATTAGATTTATCACAAAGATTGTTTCAATATATGAAAAGAAACAAACACCAAAATTCAGTTGCAGAGAGGGAGAAATTTTTATCTCAAACTTTGAGGGGCAAAGCTTAATTTAAAAGTGAAGTTTTCTTTGAATGCCTAATTACAAAAGATTGCTTTCCAAACCAGGCCTACAGCCGATGCTAGTTAAAAATAATATTGCAGTACATCCTCATTAAAAAATAGAAAGTTTTAGCAGATGGAAGAAACAAGTATCAAATACAATGTCTAATACAATGGCAAAACTAAAATTTGAAGTGAGAGAGGGCAAACAGATTAACCCCAAACATAGACGGAAAATCCTGAAAACCCAAATTTATAAATTTTTACATGATGAATTATCACATTATCAAACATGAGATATAGAAATAAAGGCTCTGACATACATACATGAAAGTAAGAAATGCTTTGCAAAAGACACCCTACCTCATTTTTCCCAGGTAAGATGGGCTTTCCATGTAAAAGCTCTGCAAAAATACAACCAACAGACCACATGTCTACAGCTGGACCATACTTGGTTGCTCCTAGCAGCAACTCCGGAGGCCTGTATTATAACCATAAAAAAAATAAAAAGTGAACATTAGAGTAGCTAGGTTCATGGAAGAGTAACAGGTAGTGTTGACATAATCGTTTTGGATGTTCAATGAGCGGACAAGGCACCAAAGTAAAAATAAAAGGTAGAAAGCAATGTTATCATTATTATCATTTGGGACAGTAAATGGTTGTAAACATTTTACCTATACCACAAAGTTATTACACGATTAGTTAAGTTGCCATTGTGATCACTAGAAAATGAGCGTGCAAGCCCAAAATCAGCCAGTTTTAGATTTCCCTCATTATCAATCAGTAAATTAGATCCTGCAGCAGATCCAAAAAACACAATTATAACCAAATAATGTCGTGCAATAATGATTTACGCAACAAACCAAAAACATTAACCACCTTTGATGTCACGATGAAGCACCTGGTTAACATGACAATAATGTAGTCCAGTTAACAGCTGCCTCATGTAACACTACCATAATGAGAA